AGAGCTGGAACTACAGGCGTGCGCTACCACACCCGGCTAATTTTTTGATTTATTGTAGAGATGAGGTCTCACCAAGTTGCCCAGGCGGGTCTCGAACCCGCAGGCTCAGGTAATCCACTCACCTAGGCCTCCCAAAGGCATGAGATTACAGGCTGAGCCACTGAGCCCAGCTGAAATGTGTTCTTTAAAAACTAGTAGCAGCAGTCACAGAGTGCTGTGGGAGCTCAGGGGAGAAAGCTGCTAGCTCAGCCTGGGTGGGGGTTGGAGGTGGAGAGATGCCCTGGGAAAACTTGGCAAAAGTGATGCTGGAGCTGAGTCTAGAAGAGAAGGGGACGGCTTGGCCAGGTGAGAAGCTTAGGGGTGAGAGAGACAAATAAGCTCATAGTTTATCCCAGAAGCTTCCTACTGTTCAGTATAGTGGCATGGCAGTTGACATGGTAGAAGGTGAAGCAGTATAGGTGATGAGGGAATGCCACATTCATGACTTGGGTCTTTATACTCAGGGCAGAGGGGACCCTGTGAAAAGGTTTTAAGGAGAGGAATGACATGTTTGGATCCATGTTTTGGAAGGATTTCTGTGGGGTTCCATTAGAGGAGGGGAAAGAAGAGGAGAGGAGAAGAGAGGTTACGGGCTGGAGACCTCTTCAGAGACATGGCAGGCTTCTGAGAGAGGAGCCTTGGTGCTGGGGGGGGGAGTCTTTGCTGAAAAAGTACTGTGTGTAACCAGTGCCAGGGGCAAGCTCCCTGCATGAGCCTGAGCTTCTCTGCCCAGCACAGAAGTGCCTGGTACATGTGCCCCTCTCTTCCAGATTGCAGGTCACATGAGCAGCTGGGGAGGTGATGCTGCCCTCTCAAGTCAGTTGTAAGGGGTGCTATACTAGCTTGCTTGTATCTTTCATTTGACCTTTGGGGAAAGCAAAAGTTGTACTGGTTAAGAGCTTATTTGGAGCCAGGTGCGGTAGCTCACACCTGTAATCCCAGCACTTTGGAAGGCGGAGGCTAGAGCATTGCCTCAGTCCAGGGGTTCGAGTCCAGCCTGGGCAACTTGGTGAGACCTCATCTCTACAGTGAATATTAGCTGGGTGTGGTGGCGCATACCTGTGGTTCCAGTTACTTGGAAGGCTAAGATAGAAGGATCGCCTGAGCCCAGCAGGTTGAGGCTGCGGTGGCCGTGAGGGTGCCACTGCACTCCAGCCTAGGTGACAGAGTGAGATTCCTACTTAAAAAAAAAATGGCAGATCTGGGTTTTAATTCCAGCCGTGCTGGTCACGAGCAGTTACTTACTCTCTTTGTGCCCAGCTTTCTCATCTGTAATATGGGGACAACAGGAGTACCTCCCAAGCAGGACAGTTGTGAGGGTTAAGTAAGATGTTGCAGGATGAGTACTTTGCACACACTGAGTAGTAAATGCTTGCTTGGTAAACGTCTGCTGTTATTACAGGCTACAGGAAAGAACTTTCAGGAATTAGTTGAAGCAATTCATGGCAACTAGAAGTGTGTCCCATTGAGCTGTCAGATGTCCTGAGGCGATCACAAGATCGCAGATCATGGAATTTTATTGTATTCTTTTTGAAAAGGAAATCTATGGGGAGTTTGCCCAGTCTGTATGAGAGCCATGCAGATGATTCAGCTCAGCTCTTTAAAAGGAGCCATTTTTAAAAATAGAAGTAGGACTGCTGAGAAAAAAATAGTATTTTAAAGTATACATGAGAAAAAAATGTATTTAGAGTTTCTTCCATGTGTGTTCCTGCTAGCAACCCTAGTGTGGTACCTGAATTAGCAGCTCAATACGCATCAAACACATTGTGTGGGGTGACTCAAAATACAGAGCCCCAGTTCCACACACATGAGCTCCCATGTGTGGCTGGATATGGAGGCAGAAGGAGGATGGAGAGGCAGTCCCTGCCCTGGAAGAGGTCCCTAACCAATCAGCACTTGCACACATCTTGGTGAATCTCTCACAGAAATCTGTGTGGCATGTGGCAGAACTGAGTGGAAGGAGTGATTCACCTTAGGGATGCGGCGGAGATTGGGAAGAATTTAAGAGAGCCCTTAGAACTTGAACTGGGTCTTGAAAAGTGAATAGAGTTTTCTGGGGGCCCAATCAGCCCTTCAGACAGAGGGAGCAGCATGGCATGGGTGTGGATGGGTGCTGGTGCATGTGGCGCTTTAGGTACCACCTGGTTCTAGCCCAGGAGAGCTAGACAGGTGCTGGTGCCAAGATGCTAGGTCTTTGCATTCTGCTGGTGATGGAGGCCTGTGTTGTGGAGGAAACATACTTATTAGCCCTGCATCTGCTTCAGAGGACGGACTGGGGAGAGTGAGTCTGCAGTCCCTGTAGGAGGCTGTTGCAGGAATCACAATGAGGGATGAGAGGGTCTTGGATCAGGATACAGGCAGTGGGCCTGAGAAGAAGGGCAGAGAGCAGAACTGTCTGGGAGAAGTCAGCTGAACTCTGGGAGTGTTTGGAAGTGATGGCCAAGGGAGGAGAAATTGGCAGGTGACCCTGAGGCTCTTGGTTTGGGTGACAGAGTGAATGATAGTGCAGAGATAGGGATGGCTCAGGGATAAGATAATGGCCAATGAGTTCTGCCAGCTCATTCACTAAGTCCTGAGCTGCCCTCCCAGGAGAGGATCCGTTGCAAAGTCTTGTGGAGCTCTGTCTGGCTTTGGGCCAGGCTTCCCTCTGCTTTTGCTTGAGTCAGCACCTGGGAGAAGGGCAGCCTTCCTTTTTTCACCTTTCCTCTGCCCAGGTTTGGTCAGGGAGGTGAACTTCTTCAAGTCTCAGGAACTCCAGTTGCTGGGTCTGCAAAACTGCTACAAATCTTCAGCCTTCCGGTGGCCCTAAGAGCATTTTCCTCTGCAATAGCCACCCTAATTCAGCAAGCCAGAACCCACGGATGGGATCCTGAAAAGCAGAGGACCCCTGGAGGGAGACTGAGATCTAGAGAAAGACAGTGAGATTGGATCTACTCCCTGACCCTGGGTCAGCAGATTCAGCCCCTCCTCCCAGGAAGGATTGGCATCTGCCAGAGGCCACCTAGAACTCACTCAGAACCATCAGAGAGTGAGAGGAAACTGTACAGTACTCTTGTCCCTGAGTCCTCAGGGAGCTCGGAGTTGGATTGGGCTGTGGAGAGGGGTGGGCAGGCCTTCAAGCAGGCCCTTTGGAATTTGGGATATTTTCAGCATCTGTCCTTGGGTTTGTGGTCTAAAGAAAGTAGATGAGAAAGTAGCCCAAAATAAGAGCATTGATTCCTCCTCTACCTGCTCAGGTGAGACTGTGAAGGTGGCTCAGGGCTCACAGCAGCCCTGCATATCCTTCCAGGCTCTCTCATCAAGATCCCAGAGGGGAAAGGATGGAGTTGCTTGCCTTGATTTACTGTCTTAGAGATGGGTCACTTTGGCAACTGTGTGGTTAGGTCAGTTTTGGCTACATTGTGTCACATCGTGAGTGTAATTTTTTTCAACAAATACTTTGCTGATGAACACTTAGGTTTATTTTCTGACTTTTTTTCCCCAAACAAAGCTGAAGTGACTTTCTTCATGCATTTGATTTTTGTCCTCCTTGGATGTCATCTGCAGGATAAACTCCCTAGAAGTGGGGGCTGCTACCTCAAAGAATACCTTTTATTAGTAGTAGTAGTATTGCTTAAAGAATTACTGGGTCCCCTTTTAATAAACTGGAGCAGCCTTATTTTTCCTCCAGCAAGTGAGTCTACTCTCTTGGGTTGAGTTCCTTAGGGGGGTGCTGACATCCTCTCTCCCTGAAGAGGCTGCAGCCCAATGGTGTTCATTCTTTTCTGACTATGACAGTCTTTTTTTTTTCTTTTTTTGAGTTAGAGTCTCTTTCCAGCCCAGGCTGGAGTGCAGTGGCACACTCACAGCTACCCCAGCATCGACCTGCTGAACTCTGGTGATCCTTCTGCCTCAGCCTTCCAAATAGTCGGAATTACAGGCATGCGCTACCATACCCGGCTACTTTTTTGATTTATTGTAGAGATGAGGTCTCGCCAAGTTGCCCAGGCGGGTCTCGAACCCGCGGGCTCAGGCAGTCCACTCACTTCGGCCTCCCAAAGCGTGGGATTACAGGCAGAGCCACCGAGCCCAGCCCACCTGATGATTTCAAAGAAACTATAGTTGTTGGAAGCATCAGACGTAGAACAAATGAGTAGTCTTGTCCTTCAGAATGAAGCTGTCCTTTCTAAATGTTTGTAGACCATCACCTACTTGGCAAGAGAGAGAGAGAGAGACAGTAGATCTTCAGCCTTTAGGAAGTCTGCAACCCAAGGTTCAGCAGGAAGGAAAGTGGGCTGGTCGTGGTGATGGAATTGGCAAGAGCAGCACTGATGTGCCTGTCATTTGCCTTTGGGGCAGAGCCCATGTGAGGTGTGTTAAAGGGATAGGAGTGCTTCTAGGGAGATGCTCGGTTCAGCCCCTTGGGGACCTTGGGCCTGGTGTAGCCCAACATTCCTTTGGGCTTTAGGAACCTCAATGCTGGCATCTACTGACTCTGGAGAGCAGGAGTCCTACTTTTGTGGTAAGTATGGCACTTCTAGCGTTACCAAGTTTGGGATGAGCTTCACAGTATATGCACTCTTCTAACTCTTCTAAGGTGGTCCCTCCTGAAAAAAACAGGAAGGAAACCAGCAAAAGAAGGATTCCCCACCACCTCCAGGTCCCTTGCTGACTACTTTGCAATACAGTATTGTCTCTAAGGAAGCAGGGGCTGTCTCTGTTTTGCAGAGGAGAACACCAAGGCTCAGAGGAGTTAGGTTGCCTTTCCACTACTACACAGCCAGTAAGGGCAGTGCCGGGATTTCCAAACCACCTGTGTGACCCTAGAACCCACGTCATCCATTCCTTCATCCTAGCCAGGATCCAGCCTCAGAGCCCAACCTACATAGAATCTTGGGCTCATGGATCCGTGGGGCTGGAAGGGACTTTTTTTTTTTTTTGAGTTGGAGTCTCACTCTGTCGCCCAGAC